TTATTATTATTATTATTATTATTATTCTTGTTATTGTTAATGTAGTTATTAATATTGTTACTATTATTATTATTATTACTGTTATTATGATAAATTTATTATTGTTATTATTATTATTGATATTGCTATTATTATTATTGTTATTTTTATTGAAGTTATTATTATTATTTTGTTGTTATTATTGTCATCCTTATTATTGATATTGTTATTATTATTGTTTTTTTTATTATTATTATGAATGTTACTGTTTTTGTCATTATTATTGCTCTTGTTGTTATTATTATTATTTATTATGTTAATATTATTATTATTGTAATTGTTATTGTTATTGTTATTATTATTATTATTATTACTGTTATTGTTATTTTATTATTATTGTTATTGTAATTTTATTATTATTATTATTGTTATTATTATAGTTATTATTATTATTTATATTCCTATTATTATTACTATTGAAATAGATATTATTATTACTGTAATTGTTTTTGTTATTATAATTGTTATTGTTATTATTACTTTTATTTTTACTATTATTGTTATTATTATTATTGTTATTATTCTAATTATTATTATTATTATAAATTTTATTGTTATTATTAGTGTTATTGTTATTACTATTGTTATTGTTATTATTATTATTGTTATTGTTATTATTATTATTATTGTTATAAATATTATTACTATTATTGTTATCGTTATTGTTATTGTTGTTATTATTTGTATTGTTGTAATTATAATTGTTGTTGTTATTATTATTATTATAGTTATAGTTAATGTTATTGTTATTTTTATTATTATTGTCATTGTCATTTTTATTATTATTATTATTGATATTGTTACAATTATTATTATTGAAATTATTGTTGTCATTATCATTTTTATTGTTAATATTATTATTAACGTTATTGTTATTTTTATTGTAATTGTTATTATTATTGTTACTTTTATTGTTTATTATTTTATTGTTATTGTTATTATTATTAATATTGTTACTGTATTTATTATTACAATTATTTTTGATATTATTATTGTAATTGTAATTGTTCAGGCTATTATTATTGTTCTTGCTATTATTATTATTTTTGATATATTTATTGTTATAATTATTGTTATTGTTATTATTATTATTATTGATATTGTTATTGTTAATATTCTTGTTATTGTTATTATTATTATTATTGATGTTTTCATCATCATTATTATTGTAATTATTATTACTGCAATTGTTAATATTATCATTGTTGTTGTTATTAATATTATTAATGTTATTGTTCTTATTATTATTGTTGTTATTGTTACAATTATTATTATTGTTATTGTTATTATTATTATTATTGATATTGTTATGGTTATTATTACTATTATTGTAATTGTCATTATTATTTTTAGAGTAATTATTATAATTATTGTTATTGTTATTATTATTGTTATTGTTATTATTATTATTATTATTATTATTATTATTATTATTATTATTATTATTATTATTATTATTATTGCAATTACTTTCATTATTGTTATTGTTATTATTACAGTTATTGTTATTAATATTATTATAGTTATTGTTTTTGTTATTCTATTTATTATTGTTATTATTATTATATTGATTTTCACTGTTATTATTATATTTATTGTTACTGTTATTGTGATTATTATTATTGACATTGTTATTATTATTAGTATTATTATTGTTATTGTCATTGTAATTATTATTACATTTATTTTTACTATTACTCTTATTGTTATTAAAATTATTATTATTATTGATATTGTTATTATCATCAATATTAATATTATTATTGTTAATTTATTATTATTGTTAATGTTATTGTTATTATTATTATTATTATTATTGTTATTGTTATTATTATAATTATTTTTACTGTTATTATTATTATTACTGTTATTGTTATTTTCATTATTATAGTTTCTTACATTATTATTATTATTTTTATTGTTATTATTACTATTATTGTAATTGTTATTGTTAGTATTATTGTATTTGTTAATATTATTATTATTGAGATTGCTATAATTACTATTGTAATTGTTATTATTATTATCAGTGTTACTAATATTATTTTTATTAACATTTTTGTTATTGTTATTATTACTATATTGTTATTATTATTTTTATTGTTGTTATTATTATTATTGTAATTATTATTATTATTTTTATTGTTATTATTAATATTATTATCGTTGTTACTGTTATTACTATTGGTACTATTATTATTATTATTATAGTTATTTTTATTGCTGTTGTTATAGTTATTATTATTGTTATTGTTTTTATTATTATATATTGTTGTTATTATTATTATTGTATTGTTATATTTATTATTACTGTTACTGCTATTGTTATTATTATTGTTATTGTTATTATTATGTTTATTGCTATTATTATTATAATTTTCTTTGTTATTGTTATTGCTATTGTTATTATAATATTTATTTCTATTATTAATTTATTATTATTGGTATAGCTATTTTTTTATCATTATTGTTATTATTATTGTCATTATTATTGTTATTTTTATGATTTTATTATTGTTACTGTTATTATTATTATTGTTATTAATATCATTATTGTTATTTATATTACTATTGATATTGTATTTATTTTTATTATTAATATTTTTATTATTATTATTGTAGTTATTATTATTATAGTTTTTATAACATTTATTATTGTTACAGTTATTAATATTGTTATTGGTAATATTATCATTATTATTATTATTATCATTATTATTATTATTATTATCATTATTATTATTATTATAACAATTATTATTATTCAAACGTGAATTGAATCTTGTTCCAGTAATAATAATAATTATACAATTATAATGGAAATAATATCTACAATAACGACAATATTAATAATAACACTAACAGTGTAATAATAATAACAATATAGATAGTATAAATAATATCAATAGCAATACTAATAAGAATAACAATGACAATAATAATAACAATAAGAAGAACAATAGGAATAATAATAACAATAGCAATTATATTAATAATAACGATAACAATATAAATAATAATAACTACAAGAATAATAATAATAATAACAATAACAATTATAATAATACTAATAGTAAAAAAATTATAATAATAACATTTACAATAATAATAACAATAATAATAACAATAATAGTAATAATAACAATAACAATAACAATAACAATGATATTAACAAAAACAATAATTACAACAATAAAAATAACAATAACAAGAACAATAACAATAACAATAACAATAATAATAATAATAACAGTATCAATAATAATAATAATAACAATAACAATAATAAAAACCATAACAGTAATAATAACACTATCAGTAATAATAATAATAACGATAATAATATTAATAATAATAAAAGTAACAATAACAACAATAGTAATAATAACAATAACAATAACATTATGGGTAACAATAACAATAATAATAATTATTTCAATAACAATAATAATATCGTAACATTAAGAATAATAAATATAATACTAACAGTAACAATAATAATAATAACAGTAGCAATAGGAATAGTAATGACACTAGCAATACTAATAGTAATAACTTTCTTTTTTTTTGATGGTCTGAGAATGCCAAACTTTACGCACTATCCCAGTGACCCTATCCGCCAGAGGTATCCTTCACCATTTGGTTCCCCCTTAAAGTTCCTGGAGTGTCGGGCTCACCGTTGGAATAGGCATTACCGTTTAAACTCATATCCATCCTAGTGGCATAGTGAAACCATCCCGGTACCGCCATGTGGCATTACTTCGGAATGGCGCCACTGCATCAGGTCCCATTACGGCTCTATCCCTACGGCTCTACGGGGCAGGAGCTTGGAGCAACGTTTGGGGCATGTCTATGTGCCACCCATCTCCATCTTTTTTCTGCGCAAAGTGGTCCTGACGAACCGGGCCACCTTGCTCCACTCCTCCTGTCTCCGGAGCATTTTCTCGACAATGTTGTCTGGCGAGATTTTTCCGAGGTCTTGCTCCAATTCGAGTCGTTCAACGCTCCACCTAACACATTTGAAGAATGTGTGGTGGGTGTCGTGGACGGTCGAGTCGCCATAGGGGCAGTTGCTGTCCCCTACCGTCCTCATTTTTGCGAGGTAGGAGCAGAACAGACCATGTCCTGTCAAAAATTGAGTGAGGTAGAAGTCGACCTCCCCCACCTCTCTGTTTAGCCAGCTGTCTAGCCGGCTGATGAGTCGTGCCGTCCATCTGCCCCGATGCTCCTGTTCCCATCTGTTTTGCCAGGTCTCGATGCTGGTAGACCTGACGATCCTTGATGCCTCCTCCTTTCCCAGAAAACCCCTTTGCTGGTAGACGAATTGTCTTTCCTGTCCTAATTGATCGATCGCGATTACCCTCGAGACCACTAGCACCGCGGGCTCGGAGACAGTGCGGTAGGAGCACGTGATTCGGAGAGCACCCCTCCTCAGTACGGCGGCGATGCGCTTGCGATATTTCTCCTTTTGCAGCGCCTCAGCCCAGTCTTCAGCGCCGTACAGCATTACTGCTTCGGCGGCATTCATCAGTAGTCGTCTCCTGCACGGTCGGGACCCGTTGACGTGTGCCATGAGTGTGCCAATCGAAGCTACTACTTTCGCCGCTTTGTCGTCTGCCCTGAGTATGTGCTCGGCATAATTAAGGTTTTTGTCTAAAATTATACCCAGATATTTGACAGTCGACTTTGCTTTGACCGCCGTGTCTCCTACAATGAAGCTGCGCAAGGTGTTGATGCGCTTCTTCGTTAGTAGCACGATCTCAGTCTTTTGGGCTGACAGAGATAGCCCCTGATCTTCCATCCAGGAGGTAATTCTTCGCTTGACCTTGTTGAGCAGCAACTGTGCCCCATTCGTGTCTCTTGCGGTTATGACAACTGCAATGTCATCTGCGTACCCAACCAAGAAAGTACCTTCTGGGAATGCCATACGAAAGACAACGTCGTAGAAAATATTCCAAATATCAGGTCCCAGTATGGAGCCCTGGGCTGCCCCCCGATGATATCTCTAAGCTTCTTGGACCATCGCCAGTACTGTATTCTTGGAAGCGCTCGTTCAGATAGTCCCCGAGTATTCGGAGTAGGTACTCCGGGACGTTGAAATTACGTTCGAGCGTTACCATTGCCAAGTCCCACCAGACGGAGTTGAAGGCATTCCTCACGTCTAAGGAGGCCAACAGACACAAAGGGCGAGTTAGTTGGTTCCCTCGCTCCGTCATTTTAGCGGCCGTGACGACCTGCTGGACTACTTGGATGGTGGTGAGACCGGATCGGAATCCATACTGGCGGCCAGCAAGATCCCCCGCTGCCCTTAAGGCTGCGTGCAGCCGTGGCCGAAGCAGCTTCTCCAGGAGCTTGCCAGCTGTATCGAGCATACAAATAGGCCTGTATGACGAAGCGGCATCTGCTGGACCCTTGCCCTTGCTTATAAACACAAGTCTGGCTTTTTTCCACTGGGCGGGGAAGATGCCCACCCTGAGACACATGTTGTACATGTTTAGCAAGTGCTTGGGATGATTCTGCGCGACGGCTTTCATTACTTTAGCTGGAAGGACGCCTGATCCTGGAGCTTCCTCGTTCCGTATAGAAGATGCGGCCTTGAGTAGTTCCTCCTCTGTTAATAGCGGCCCTTCAGGTCTACCTGGCGTAGCCGTGCGAATCTCTCATTCGGATGTGAGGGGAATAGGGTATGAATGACGTATTCCAACGTCCTCGCATCCTGTGGGATTCCTTGGGTGTTAGTCCCCAGATTGCGAGTGACCATCTGATACCCTAATCCCCACGGATATGGTTGACATCCAGGCACAGTTCCTTCCAGCACTATCGTTGACTGGCGTTGATGGTCCTCTTCAAAACTTTTTTGGCCACTTGATACTCTGCGGCGAAGGGAACAGCGTCGAGATTGCGTCTCTTCGCTCGTTTTGCTGAACGGCGAAGTCTTAAGCACTTCTTGCGAAGATCTGCAATCTCGTTCGTCCACCAGTATGCAGGACGCCTGTGCCGTTTCGTGCACTTCTTGGTCACCGCTATGGCGCAAGCCTTTTGGATGAGCAGCATATATGCTGCAGTAATCATCCTGGCTTGTGCAATTGGCGATAGACTCGCGGAGGCAATTTAAAGGGATCTCCAACCTTCATCTATGACTGAAGACAGCATCTCTCGATCCATTCTTGCTATGTTCCACCGGAAGGGTCGCTCTACCCTTGTCGCGGCTGGCCTCCTATCGTGTAAATCGAATAGGATGTACTGATGGTCGCTCCCGGTATAATCCTCGATCACCTGACAGCCTGCGACTCTTGCCACAAGATGTTCGTTGACTAGAGATACGTCAGGGATCGTCAATCTGTAGCCAGGTCTGCGGAAGGTCGACGTCGAACCTGTGTTTAGTGCTGATAGCTCCAGTCTCTACTTGAATCGGTGGAATCGTCCTCCTCCATAAATCGTCTTCCTCTGGAGTTCGGCCTGTCCTCCCCCCATTCGAGAGCTTTGGCATTGAGGTCTCCATCCACAATAAGATCCCCTTGCATTTCCCGCATCGCGTCTTCCAGATAGTCTAGTTTGGTCTGGAAATCGTCTATCCGGTCGTTTGGGGTGAGATATACGCTGACATATGTCGTAAAGTTATGTCTCTCCCAAACGTAACCGCGTCCGGATTCTTGATCCGGGACATGTATTAGTCGGGGATCAGGGATCCAGATAGCCGCAGTGCCCAATTCAACTGCGTACCATCCTACTCCTGCTCTGTCCGGGTACTGTTCGCTGATTAGAACAATATCAGCTTTTTTCTCAGAGCAGAGCTGGGTCAGTAGGTGGTGCGCCGTCCTGTTCCTATTGAAGTTACCCTGAAGTACTCTCATTCTTTTTTTCTATTGTTGGCGGTTGTAAGGGCCTCCTGGAAAGCTTTGCAGGCCCTTGATCCTGCCAGGTGCTTCCTAGTTACAACAACGCCATTTGAGCACAAGAAGCATGTAGGATCGCTGACCTTGCACTCTTTGATCTTGTGCCCCGTGCCGCCGCAGGAATAGCAAAACTTACTACGATGAGGTCCCTTGCACGAGGCACTATAGTGACCATAGTCGAGACAGCGGAAGCATCGCCTCACTTCTGCCCTTCGCCTGACCCTACAGCTGACGAAACATACCAGCACTCGGCCGGCCTTTAAAAGCTTCGCAGCTGCTACCTCTTCTATTTCAACGAGGACCAGGCGTTGTTGTCATGCGTTGGGGCTCGTCATCTTAATTTTGATTTTCCCCGCATAGTCTGGCAGGATCCTCTTTAGGGCCTCCTCGACTTCTATCGACGTGGTGCAGCAGTCACAGTCCCGTATCTCCAGCGTAGCTCTAGGGACCAGTTCCGTAATGCTGCTCGCTTCTCCTACTTCTTTTCTCAGGGTTTCTGCGAATTAGGTCCTGATATCCGCAGTGGTCTTCTTTAGTTCAAGGAGAACCCCTCCGGTTCAGGTCTGCCGGACCGATCTAACGTCTACCCCTTGCGGCGCTGGTCTTGATGTGCTGGTGGATAGCTCTGACCACGTCTGCGTAAGACTTACCTTACGCAGGTTTCAGGAGGATCGCGTCCGGCTTCGTTCTCTTTCTTGGCCTGACCTCCGATTTGCTCGACTTCTTTTTCTTTTGTTGTGGGTGGTTCGTCCTCTTCTTCGCTGTTATCTCCTTATTTCTTTTCGTCTTCACGACCTCCGTCCACTTGATGGAATCGGTCGTCGTCGCCTCTAGCCTCGGTCTTTTTAGTCATTCTTCAGACAACTGCGGCGGGCTTGAGGCTACTCTCTTAACTGCGCTGGCCTCAGTCGTAGAATTTGCCCGAGGTCTCTGTGAAACTTGGGTTAGAATCCTCGAACCCTCATTGACATATTCTCGAGATTTGTACATGAACTCGAGACTGTCTATGATGTCTTCCAATTCTGGGATCCCTTGCTTAATCTCATTGTTTACGTTTGGCTGTCTAGTAATAGCCAGCTTCATTTTGACAGGGAGAAATTTCGCTTGCGCGAGTTTCTCTCTCTCTCTATTTTGTGGTGTCCCCTTCGCAGGCTGAGAGCCTACGTTTCTGTCGCCTTAAGTAGCGATGTAATTCCCAGATGGTTCTTGGGTGTTTTGATGTTTATTGTATTTTTCGTTTTGTGTGTTTATTTTCTCTTTTGTGCTTTCTTTTTCCATGTGTTCAAAATTCTTCCTCCAGAGTGCCTGGCCGTCTCCGAACGCGGTGTCTCCTGAAGTGAGGAGGTTATCAACCTCGTAACTACCCTCATTGTTGCGGGAGCTTTTGGTTATAATGTCGGGAATGAGGCATCCGCCTTTGCCGTTCACCTACTTCCTTCATCGGCTTCTTGACACACCCGTGGGTGCGACGCGTTGACGCCGGCAGTTTTCCACGAGAACCGCCCTTTACTTATCATACCGCACATCCCTTTCGGGCAGCGTCAGCGTACCCGCTAGTCCTCGTGGCCCTGCCGTAACTTGGGGTCCTTACAGGGTGCTGTCATCCGGGCCAGATGAGCCCTGGTTTTTTTTTGAGAGTTTGTACTCCCCTTATCACGAGAACCGACCGTGCTACTCGTCGGTAGAAGAAAAATGCTCCTCTTCACCCCTCGGTGGATTATTATTATTAGGTAGGATTTGCCGAGTTCCTTCCATATAGCCTTGATCGCAATCGCGTTCCAAATATATAAATAGGAGCCATAGGATATATAAATCCCACAGTTGACTGACGCTTGAATTTCATTCTATTTTTTTTCTGATCAAAGCGCCTCCTATGCTCTGCAGACGAGTTTATCGTCTCTCTCTGTAGTGGAATTACGTTCCGCTTGCGCTGGTGGCGGCTCTGCCGTCGTAGTCACTTATAGATGGCGCTGCTTGCGTCCGCGGTGGGCCGTCGATTCTGCCGCCCGACCATGTAATATAGTTCGCGGAACTAACATTTCCTAGTTGGCAGCACTGGCCAACATCCGAGATGGCATCCAATACCTCGTAGTTCTTGATCGACTCTATCCGCCAATCCAGAGGGCGACTCATCTTTAACCGTAGTGGTAGTTGTCGCATGTGCTGAAGGTGGCGCAGCCATCGTACCCTGGGGTAGGTGGCGTTGAATGAGATCCCGATGAAAGGACGAGTCTGCCATCCAGCCGCAAAATATAGTTCCAGCAACTAACAGGTAATAGCGACCAAAGCCTCGACAATCCAATCGAACAAATCTTCACCATCCACACAATAGATGATCGATCTGTAGATCCGGTAATTATCTCCTATTGCTCACCGCTTACAAATTACCAAGCTAGTTATATTTCATATTTCCTAGTAATGGGAATAGATGGAGCTTGCGCTGGCGGTGGCGTTCCCATCGTTGTCAATAGTAGATAGCGCATCATAAGCAGAGTCTTCGGTGGACCGTCAAGTCTGCCATCCAACCATAGAGTATATTTCGTCGGACTACCACGTCCCATATGACAGCACTGCCTGTCCCCTGGATGCCGTACAATACCTCATAGAACTTGATCGAACCTATCCGCCAATCCCAGAGGACGGCTCATCTCTAATTGAAGTAATAGTTGACATATGCGCTGAAGATAGCGTTGTCATTGTACCCTGGAGTACGTGGCGCTCAATGAAATCAAGGTCGGGTTTGCCGTCCAACCGTAGAATATAGTTTCGCAACTAACACGTAATGGCGACCAAAGCCACGACAATCCAAACGAGCACATTTTCACAAACAACACATGAGATGATCGATACTTGACCCGATTCCTACCTCCCTATGCTCGCCGATTAGCAATTCACTCGCGATATATGAAACTTACAGCCGATGGAATAGAATAAACTATGAAAAACCGCACGAAATCCGGAGCGCTAGACGATACGACCCTTCCGTACCTACGCCATAGTGGATCTCAATAATAATTATGATAACAACAACAATAATAGTAATAATAACAATGACAATAACAGTAATAACAACAACAATAATAATAATATTAACAATAATAATATCAGTAACAATAATAATGATAATAACAATAACAAATATAATCATAGAAACAATAACAGTAATAATAATAATAGCAATAGCAATAATGATCATAAAAACAATAACAATAATAATAATAATAGCAATAAAAATAATAATAATAATAGCAATTGCAATAATAATAATAATAACAGAAACAATATTAATATTAAACACTATAACAGTAATAAGAACTATATCAATAATAATAACAATAACAATAATGATAATATTAACAATAATAATATCAATAACAATAATAATAATAATAATAGCAATAGCAATAATAATCATAAAAACAATAACAATAATAATAATAATAACAATAACAATAAATATACTAATAGCAAGAGCAATAATAATAGTAATAACAGTAACAATAATAATATTAATTAATATAACAATAATAAGAACTATATCAATAATAATAACAATAACAATAAAAATAACTATAACAATAATAATAATAATAACAATAATAATAATAATAACAATAACAATAATAATAAAACCAACAATGACACTAACAATAAAAATAACAATAACAATAATAATAATAATAACGATAACAATAATAATAATAACAATAATAATAATAACAATTGCAATAATAATAATAACAATAACAAAAATAATAATAATAACAATTACAAAAATAATAAAAATAACAATAATGATAATGACAATAACAATAATAATAATAATAATAACAATATCAATTATAACAACAATAGCAATAATAATACTAATAACAATAATAATAATAATTATAATAATAATAAAAATAACAAATATAAAATAATAACAATAACAATAATAATAATATTAACAATAACATTAATAATATTAATAAAAATATTAATAATAATAACAATCACAATAATAATAACATTAATTATAATTATAACAAGAACAATAACAATATTAATAAAAATAACAATAATAATATCAATATAAATGACAATGATAATAATAAAAATAACGTTAATAGTTATAATAACAAAAATAATATTAATAATAATAACAATAACAATAATAATAATTATAACAATAGCAATAATAAAAACAATAACAATAAAAATAATAAAAACTATAACAATAATAATAATAATAACAATAATAATAATATTAACAATAGAAATTGTAATAATAGCATTTATATCAATAGCAATAGTAATATCAATAACAATAATAATAATAATAACAATAACAATAATAAAAAGAGCAATAACAATAATAATAATAATAACAATAATAGTAATAATAACAATAACAATAACTATAACAATAATAATAACAATACAAATATTAATAACAATAACAATAATAATAATTAGAAAAATATCAAAAACAAAAATAATAACAATAACAATAATAATAATAATAGCAATTACAATGATATTATTAACAATAACTATACTAACACCAATAACAATTATAATATTATTAACAACAATGATAATAATAATAATAACGAAACAATAATAATAATAATAGCAATAACAATAATCATAATAATAATAATAGCAATAATAGTAAGAATAACAATAATAAAAATAATAATAATAATATTAAAGACATTAGCAATAATAATAATAATAACAATAATAATTATTATAACAATAACATTAATAATAATAATAACAATATCATTAATAATAACAATAACAATAATAATAACAAAATCAATAATAATAATAATAACAATTATAATAGTAATAACAATAATAATAATAACAATTATAACAATAATAATAACAATAACGGTAATTATAACAATAACAATAACAATAATAATTACAATAACAATAATAATAATAATAACAATAACAATGAT